CTTGAATTAAAGAAAAGAAAATTACACATAGACTTGGATTTAAAATACCATTTTTAAAAATCATGAATCAAGTTTCATTTTACAAAAATCAGGTTTTGATTAATAATTTAAAATCTTTTTCTCTTATTTTTATTTTATTTTATACTAATCAAACCCTGATACTAATTCATTTGAAGAAAGCACTCTCTCACCGTCTCTCCATTTTCTCCCCACACGGCGCCTCCACCGTCCCCACAGCCCGCCACATCCATCGTCCCTCTATCTTCTCTCTTTCCTCTCTGCGATGTCGCTGCCGGCTTGGTGAAGGTGAAGCAGTGGTGTCGCGCGCCCAGATATGTTCTATGTCTTCTCTCCCTCACTGCGTTGTTGGCGGCCAGATCTGTATTTTTTTTATCCGCCTCTTTCCTCATTGTGATGTCGTTGTCGGCTTGGTGAAGGTGAAGCAGTGGTGTCGCGCGCCCAGATCTGTTCTCTGTCTTCTCTCCCTCACTGTGTTGTTGGCGCCCGATCTGTTTTTTTTTTTATAGTTTTCGAGTTTGATTTGTCGGATGGTTGTGGCGGTTGCAGATCTGTTAGGTATGTATGGGTGGTAGTGGTGCGGTTGGGTGTTGGTGCGTGAGAAGACGGCCGTTGTTGGAGTGGTGTTGAGATCGTGGTTTTTGTTGTTATTGGAGCGGTGTTGAGAAACGGTTGTGTTGGTGTTGGTGGCATCGTCGTTGCTGCCGGCTTGGTGATGGATGCGGTTTTGGGGATGGTGATAGTGGCGGGGGAGGATGTGGTGTTTGATTTTTTTGAGATGTTGATGTTGCTATTGGGCGGCGACGGTGGTGGTGCCGATGTTGGAGGCAGTGGCGAAGTGGTCACAAATGATTTGGTTGGTTTGTGACCAATAATTTGGTTGGTTTGTGACCAATAAACAATTTGTGACAAATGAATTCGATAAACTGTGATCAGTACAAGCTGTGTGACCTAAAAATTATTAATTTGTGACCAATAAATTGATATTTGTAACCATAAAATAAGTAACGTAACTTTTAAATTTTGTAATTGTGGCCGACGAACAAAGTGTGACTTTTAAATTTTTAAGTTGTGACCGATGAACAAATTGTGACTTATGAAAATTTTGAATTGTGACCTAAAAAGTGGTGGAACAGTCATCGGAATACTCATCGAAATCGGAGCAGCAGCCGAAACGGTCATCGAAAAAGTCGCCGGAAAAAAGTGGTGATCGGAAAGGTTACCGGAATAACCACCGGAGCTGTAGGGGTGGTGGAGGTGGGTGGGTTAATTATATTATATTAGAATTAAATATTTAATAATAAATTAATTTAATAATTATTATTTTCATAAATAAAAATTTAAAGAAACCTGATTTTTGAAATCTGAAACTTGATTTTGTATTTTTGAAATGAGTGAAAGTAAATACCTGATTTATGTATTGTTCCCATTAAAGAACCCTTTAATCTATGAGTATTCCACAAGTAAAAAACTAACATATAGGTAGGGATTGAAAGACAAACGTAGTCTAATATTGAATGTTTCTTTCTCATTAGGCGGCGCCGAATGGTACACAGACCATGAAATTGTCCAAGATAGCCTAACTCGTTTGGGTCGTTGTTCTTTTTAAATTATTGACCCATGTTTGGGTTATTTTATCAAAACTCTATTAAAGGGTTCTTAATTAAGATTAGAGAAAGAAAAAGTAGGATTAACATATCGATTAAGGGAAAAGTTAAATGGATGTGATGATTATCTCGAAGGTGATTAGGCCAGAAAGTTTGAAGCCCTACCGTATAGAGATAGAAGTGTGTGTAATTAAAGTTGAAATGATTATTGAGAATTCATGCACAATTCAAAGTAAAGTTTGACCAATTAGACTTTGACAAACCCAAAAAAGAAAAGGAAGAAAGGAAAAAAATAATTCTTCCATGTCCAATGTTTTAAACACCCTCTCGGGTTTCGATCCGGAAAAGATAAAGCGTCAAATGTTAGAGATCAAATCTATATCTTGGGTATCGATATGGAAACGATAAAAGTGTCCAGAGTCAAATCGATGATTGAAATAGTGATACACAAATTATCTAAATTTTAAAAAATAAAGTGAACTAGCCATTCCTTGCAATTTTTGGGTTATTTTCAATTTTTAAGTATGTTCAAACCAATTTTGGGATCGGTCCCTAATTTTTCTTGTTAAACCGGTCGACTCGATCCAATTTCGACAGTAATATTTATTAAAAATGAAACTAATTCTTTGTTATTATTATCCATAAAGTTTCACAATATTTACATCGTCATTGACATCGAATATAAAGAAGAAATCAAAAACTTTATCTAGTGTGGCGAACTTTAGTCAAGTCAGCCCTAGCGGTGGATCACGTGGTTGTCGAACTATTGGTTCGGAATTGACAATTGACATTTTTAATAGAATCTTACATAGAAGAGAATTTTTCCTTCTTCGATAAAGTTGATCACGTTGCTTGACCTTTCCCATTGATAAAGGATGAAAACATAGAATTCAATGAATTTCAATCTTAATTCTTAGATGTTGCCTAACTTTTGGTCTTCGCACTGTTTTTGGTTCCATGTTATCCACAATGCGGCTTTCATCAACAAGTTTTAGCCAAATTTGAATTTACTTTTGGTCTTCAATTATATAATAATCTATCTATCTTCAAAACTACATTCGCCGCATCAAATGAATCCCACTAGGTGACTAATCTACATTAGCATTTGTATTTTTCAAGGAAAAAATAGAAACCATTTTATTTTTCAAGAAAAAAAGTTCTCTAATTGCACTAGGAAGACAAATAGGATACGAGTATTCTTGATTGACTTCACTTTTTAATCATTTTAAGACACGTGTTGTCGATACATATTCCCATCTCTCGATTTTCCTCCGTCAAAAGAGGAAAAACATCGACTTTTAACGTCCACAGCTGCAAATGATTTGCCACCTCAACTTGTACCGCTTCATTATCTCGAATCTTCAATAGTTTCAAAATTTTACGAGACTGTATTATGATCAACTAATTAAGTTAATTATAAAAAAACGAGCACGTTAGCAAAAAAATAAAAAAAAAACTACTTATATGCTCATCTAATCGAATATGATTCTTTAAATAAAATTTACTGTTTTTAGAAAAAATAACTGGTAAAGAAAAGAAAGAGAGCAAAGAGGTGGAGTTAACGAGAGAAAGGGCGTCCTTCAAATATTACACCCCAAAGCCTTTGCTTCTAGATTTACAGAGAGAATCCAAAGGATTTCTCCTAAGAAAAACAAGAAAGAGAAGAACTGAAACTCCTCTCCCTCTCTCTCTCTCTCTCTCTCTCTCTCTCTCTCTCACACACACACACACACACACAAATTATACATAATTATATATGAACTGAAACTCCTCTCTCTCTCTCTCTCTCACACACACACACACACACAAATTATACATAATTATATACTGGAATTGACATGAATACATATATATAAAGGTGTGGGGAGAGAGAGAGGAGTTGTTCTGTTCATATAATTTCAATCAAGTTCTCCTTTTGCATCTTCTTATCCATTATATGTAAGTCCCATCTATTGTTAATTTTATTATTATTAATCATCATGATTTCTGTGTTTCTTTTTTTGTTCCTTTCCATTTGATGTTTTGTTTATTCTGTTTGCTTTCTTGTTATTCTCTTGATGCTAAACAGTGATTGAGTTTTTATCTTAAAAGAGTATAGGCCGATCTAATCTGAATATTGAATTTGTTTTATTGATTAAAACAAGATTTTCGCAGCTGGGTATTGTTTGATCTGAATTTTAGAGATCTGGGCTGCTTCGTGGAATTTTTCTTCTTCTATTTTATTAAAATATTTGATTTTTATGGTGTTTTTGAATCTGGTTTTCTCTGCCGATTGATGAGTACTGTTGTTTGAGCAGTCATTCTGCTAATTTAGTTTTAATATTTAGTCGAGGACAGTTTTTTTTATTGATAACCTGTTGATCTAGTTTAATAGTCTTATTGAATTTGGATCAGAAACCATAACTGATGTGAATTTCTTTTTTCTTCTTCTTCTTCTTTTTTTTTTTTTTTTTTGG